CAAATGGAGGCTGAAGAAATGAGCAGGAGGGACACAGAAATGTCTTGGAAGCTGTAGTCAGGGAAGAGGTGACATTTATGCCAATTTGGAAGAGGGTATCTCTTTCTAGTAAGGGAATAGGGCATGGTGGTATGAGCAGAAAGGAGTGAGAAAACAAGTAGCCTTTAATAAAGGGGCAAGCTATGGGAGTAGGTATGGATGACTGGCCGTCTACTCTGATGGAGAAGGGAAAGGGATGAGTGGGACCCAGAATTCTCTATGGACTGAAAAAAATGGCCCAGGTACCTAAGAGAAGTGTGATATGTCAACTTGACATAAGAGGTGAGACCCAAGCCGGGCTTTGGTGGTGCATGCCTTTAATTCCAGCACTCAGGAGGCAGAAGCAGGTGGATTTCTGTGAGTTTGAGGCCAGCCTGGTCTACAGAGCTAGTTCCAGGACAGGCTCCAAATCAATACAGAAAGCAGTACAGAGAAATCCTGTCTCAAAAAATCAAACAAAGAAGTGAGACCCTAGGCTCTGGAGAGTGGTGTGGGTTTAATCAAATCATCAGAGATCTGAGAAAGATAATTTGTAATAAAAGGTATAATCCAAATGGCCTATGGATCACTGAAAATGAGAGGCTTTCCCATTACCTAGATGGTTGCCTGAAGCTCTCATGGTCTAAGTGGCTTCATTGGGGGCAGTGGTGGTAGGTCTTCAGCTGTTTTACAGGACAGTATTTTATGTTTAGCTGTCATATAGAGCAGCTTTGGCCTTTGACTGTCAGGCCAAGGTCTGAGAGATCGTTCCTGTAAAGGACGTTGGGAAAGCTGGCTTTATTTTGACCAGGTAGAGTAGGGCAATCAACCCAAAAGTGCCCACAGTTTGAGCAAAGCCCTGGAAGCAGGCAAAGCAGGAGGCAGTTTTGGTTAGTGGTGTGGTTAACATTACCACACTCCAGGTGGAGTCTGGCATGCTTCATCTATCTTCTCTGGAGATCATAGGGTTCCCATTTGGAAGGGGCATTTTTCTCTAAAATGGGAAGCTGAAACATTTTAAATACCATATTCAGCAGATCTCTCAAGAGTAGAAGACCATCTTTTTATTAAGTGTAAACAACTTTAAAAACACAAATAGGAGGTTAAATAGGGTTTATTTCTGTAATTACATTAGTGTTTTGTATGGCAATAAGAGGTTCTGAACATATTAAAGAAATTGATTATTTATAAGGTGACATTGTTAACTTGTATGCTTTAGCTATTTTATTAGTAAGTTAGTAGCTTTTATAAGGTTAAGATTATATGGATCTATCCCTGTTAATTTTGAGCATTGAAATTTTGAGTTGAAGATTTATTTGGATTACCTTTAGCATGGTACACCATTATAGAATATCGTGTGTGTGTGTGTGTGTGTGTGTGTGTGTGTGTGTTTAAATCTAAATAGCAAATTTGAACAAAAACAAAGAAGCTAGATAAAAATTATTGTGAACCTGAGTAGGTCTTAGGAATTTATAAATCCTATGTATCCAATATATGTTTTTATTTATTTAAAATTTTTAGAAGTCTTGTGTTGAATAAGTAGTTAGCTAAATCTCTAAGTCCACTTTTGTTAACCTAAGTAAAATTTTATATAAATCCAAAATACTCTGGAAACATTTTGTTGCTTCTTTAATCTAAGAACCAATACAATGATGAGCTAAGAGCGCAGCATCATTGAGAAATTTTATGATTGTTTTTTATGCCATGTGGTCATCTTAAGATGTTGAAGTCATATGGTATGTACTCTTTAGCATTAGTAAAGATGGCTTCCAACTATTATATATATATATATATATATATATATATATATATCAAGAGTTGAATTTAAGTTATATATATAGTAAGTAGATCTATTTTTTGAAAAAGAGTTGAATCACATAGAGCAAGTTAAGATTTAACTTCTTGTTACAAGTTTTAAGGTAATTTTTTTTGTTACAGATTTTATATGTTTTAAACCATATCCAATGAACTTACAAATCCCAAGATAGAGTTTACAGCATAATCTTAAGAGATTTTTTAGAGCAGAGTATAGAGAATTTTTAGAGATAAAAATAACAGTGGGAGTAAAGAAGAGTAAGTTTAGATATAAGAGGTGTTGTGAGCATGCATTTGTGTAGTAGCAGGTGAGAGAATTTGATAATACAGAGGCCATGCTGCTTGTAGTAACACAACTTGAGTCTGTGGAAGAAGAGAGTAAGGACTGAAAAACAAAACTCTGTTGGAGGGAAATTCTATAAGCTCCAAGAAGAAGCTGAGAGAAAGTGTAGGTGGCTCAGGCATAGAGAAGCTTTGGGGGAGGGGAAGGCCTAGGAGTTCTTAAGGAAGAGACTTAACAGGCATCTCTGAGGAGAAAGTGCAACATGAACAGGAAATGACCAGAGACAGACGCTGGGGTTCAAACTTCAGGCTGAAGATTAGAAAAGCAAAGTAGTGAGCCACTAGCTCTTATTGCTACCTCAGGCTGAATGGGCTGATCCTGCTGCTTCTCCTCAGCATGGCTGGAGAATCCTGAGACTGAATGCCTTCATATCCTCAGTGTGACTCCAGAATGAATCCTCTTCTCAATGTGACTGGAAAGTGAATCCTTGTGGCTGGAGAATGAATGCTCAGTACTGATCTTACTCCTGCCTTACATACCTCCCTAAAGCTGGGATTAAGGGCTTGTGATGGAAGGTGCTGAGATCATCTTTGTGTGAGCTGTTCTCCTTAGGATTGGGTCAATCTTGTGTAGATCTGGGTGGACTTGAACTCACAGAGATCTGTTTATCTCTTAATCCTGAGTCCTAGAATTACAGGTGAGTGACTGGCTTCTACGTCTTTTGTCTGACTTTGCTTTCTGAATCATCAGGCAAGCTTTAATAAATCGTAAGTAATATATCACCACAAGAAAGGGAGAACTTTGACAGGGATCTGAGACAAGAAGGTGTGGGACTGCCGAGGGAGCTGAGAGACAAGAGAACAGGACCACACAGGCCTGGGCAGGCTTAAGGAAACTGCAGAATTTTGGGCAGCTCCTAGTTGGAGGAGAGGAAAGGGGTTGCGGGGGTTGCAGTATATTGTGTGTGGGGGGTGTGTGTGAGAGAAGATAGAGCCACAAAGTATCACAGGAGACAAAAAAATGTAGAGAAGTGGCTGGAGAAAGGAAGGGATTGTAAGTGACAGGCAGGGTCACAGCTGGAGAGACAGCATAGTGAGACAGCAGATAGGGTTGCAGTTCCTAGGGGGAGAAGACCAGGAAGGCACAATGACAGATAGAATAGGGAGCTCCAAGTAGGAAGAAGCAAGGAAAAGGGTCCCAGGCTGCTGTGGGGAGGGTTTCAACTCCTGATGGGAAGTGAGAGACAGCTAGAGAGAGACGGAGAGAGCAGGGGAAAAGGAGATGTCCATGTGGGTATAGCAGGCTAGAGGCGTAACAGACTGTAGGAGCCAGAGAAACATGTGCAGAGTGTAGAGATGTCCAAATGGAGGACATAGTAGGCTAGCGGAGATAGAGGGAAGGAGGAGATGAAGAATTGGGCTCTAGAATTTGGAATTAAAATATGTGGGTGGCGGGAGCCAGCAGAAATAAATGATCTGTATGTACCTTAGGAGAGTCAGATCAGAAGCTTGGTTCAGAGAGAACAGGTTCTTATAGATAAAAGGGAGAGAGCATAGTCAGAATCAGGGATATCAAGGAGAGTCCAGAGTAAACATGAACCTGAGCTGAGCCATGTGAGGAGACAGACTGGGGCCAGAGGGGGATCCACCAAGAAGGATGGCCTGGGCCAAGATGAGGGGCAGAGGTAAGGGAGAAGGGACTGGAGGGGATGTGGCTGATGAAGAGGGAGAGGATAACAGTAGGGAGGATCAAAGATGAAAAGTTTGGCTTCAGTTTAGGTAGAGAGATGATGGTTGTGGTGGCAGGAGGTTCCAGAGGTGGGTTGCAGCTGCAGACTCCTGAAGTGACACAGCCTGGACAGCTGCTGTGGGCTCCTAGAGCTGCGTGGCCATTGTATCAGTGGCAGTGACAAAGTTTTGATGGCCAGTAGGACAGTAGACAAGTGTGAGCTGAAGGCTTAGGCTAGAGGTAAAGAGGACATAGACATAGGAAGTCTCGGAAGAAGGGGAGTGAGGAGGGAGGAGAGTAAAAGAGGATCTACTCTCATCATTCCATGCACCCACAAATATTTTAAATGTTGCCACTGTGTTTGATTATCTAGGCAGGTATAAGGGCCATTCTTGAGTGCTAAAATGCAATATCTATTCTGAGTTGGGTCTTTAGGAGATATCCCAGAGAAAAGTCAAGTCAGGATGAAGGGAGTGGATCTCGTTGCTAATAACAGCCAATGAGCAAAGTTCAAGAACCAAGGGCCATCCGTAAGGGTCTCAAATGGCCAATAAGGAGATCTCTGGGAGGGAGGGTTGTCACCCAAGCTACATCACCAAAAGAGGGATGCAATGGTCCAAGGACTGTCAACAGGATTTTCATATGGTTAGGAATGGAGAATGGCCACCAAAAGTGAAAGGAACATCACCAACCAAGCCAAAGTGAATGAAATGTGTCTGACAGTCTTCTGATAGAGTTCACTATTGCCTCTGAAGGTCAGGTGAAGTGCATTCTTCCCATCCCTACAAGTGCAGGGATGTTGGATACTCAATGACCATCACATGCTATCCTGAGAAATGTTAAGAATGTCAGCAAGGGAAACCTCATGAATTAGCTGACGATGAGTGGAGGAAGCAGGTGCCAATGGCCGAGAAGGTTCAAGAACAGGGTCAAGAGTCCTGTAGACCCATTCAAGTCATGATCTCAGTTACAGAAACCAAATAAAGAAGCCACAGAGTTAGCACAGAGCATACCCAGACACCAAATTCTCGACAGAATGGAGATATTATTCCCATAGAGGTAAGAAGACGTGGTGTTACCTCTTGATGGGGCAAAGACAGCAGCAAGTGTCCCTGAAGGAGTAGGTATAAGGAGAGAAAGGGGAAGTCTATTGAATGAGCTTGCTTCGCCAGCACATATTCTAAAATTGGAATGATACAGAGAAGATTAACATGGCCTCTGAGCAAGGAGTTGGTAAATTCTCATCAGAAGTTAGTGAATGTACCCAAAATATGAATTTGACCTTGCTATTTTGAGAGCTGGACCTTGGTGATTGGCTTCAGGAATGAGTTAGGCACAAGGAAGTTGCCAAATAAGGGAATGGAACTTGGTGGTTAACTTTGGAATATAATCTAATGCTTTAGCAAGGGAGAAGGAAGGGGAAGGTCAAGCCTTCTACTGTCATATTTGCAATACTTAGGCCTGTTATAGAGTCCGTCATCAAGAATAACTGTGAGCATCAGTGGTTCACCCAGTACTCTAGTGTCTCAGGTACTGTAACTTACTCATTTCCTTACTCAGGATCATTTTCCATGATAATCACTATATTATCAATAAGCGTCCCTCTATATTTACTAGGTAAAATACAATGGTGACAAAACCTAGCACTACATAACTTCAACTCCCATTTAACATATAGATGAGCTAAAATATTCAAATTGAGAGTCAAGAGTTGGCAACAGTTATTAATATATTGATAAGCAACTTCAAGGAATTTCCATCACTTACTACTCATGGGTAGCTATTTTTCTTTTAATTTGCATGACTTCATTTCTAATTTGTGATTTTGTGCTTATGATGGGTTCATAGGTCTGGTTTCATTAATTTGATGACTCATATGTATGGGCCTCTGTGCATGGTGTGTGAGTGTGTGTGTGTGTGTGTGTGTGTGTGTGTGTGTGTGTGTGCGTGTGTGTGTGTGTGTATTAAATAATTGTGAACTTCTTAGATAGAAACTGATCTTGGGTAAAGATACTGGTATTCTTCTAGCAAAATGTGGAATTTACCAAGTTTCTGAGAAAAATCTACTTTCTCCCTCATGGTATTAGACTCCACCAAATAATAATTTATTTCACAAATACATTTTATAGACACCTATTTTAAGTTGTCATTAATTTAAGTTTCTAATTGTTATTAATATAGTGGTATTTCAGCAAGTTTTATTATTATGGACTTTAACCATTGTACATGGGATGCTAAGAAGGAATCCTGTATATATTTCCAGAATGAAACCTCTAAAAACAGGCTCAGAGAGGGAAAATGGCTGTGAGCTTTGTAAGAGATCGTAGAACCATTCTTCTTAATCTGTAAAAGTATTATGTTCAGCGATGGATTTGTACTTTTATTTCCTCCATTTCACCCACCAATTTCATAAGCAAATATTCCCACCTGAGAGCTAAAGCTCAGAGCGGCTTCAGCAATGAAGCCTGAAAGTGTTCCTTTGTTACAGACATACTCCAGAACAAGGGCAGCCAAGACTGGTGTGAAGCAGAAGGAAATGCCTCCCAGTAAACACCATGAACATACAGGAAACAACCAGGACATTACTTATACGGAGATGAAGATGACTAAGTTTTCACAGAAGCAAAGCATACCTAAAGCCAAGCAGAGCCCTGTAATGCTAAGCGAAGACCAGTTAAACTATGCAGCACTGATATTCCACAGAACGCCTCAGCCCCTGCCCCCAAAGCGGGTTGTCAGAGGGAAGAGACAAGGTACAGTGATGTGTCTATTCTGCAATTGACAGATCTCAACACCAGAGTTTATATTGCAGCTCTCAATACCCTGCTATGGCCACCTTTAATTGCCAATGTGTCACGACATAGAATCAACTGGGGAAAGTCTTCCTAAGGGACTGTCCAGATCAGACCAGCCTGTGAGCCTGTCTTGATGTCAATTGTCTTGATGCCCTGACTAATGTGGGAAAACCACATGCAAGCACAAGGCACCATTCCCGGGTTGGGGCTCTGGACTGTGTAACAGCAGAGAAGGCTAGGCAAGCTCCAAGCATGAGTGTGTTCACGTCTCTCTGCTCTTGACTGTGCATGTGACTAGCTGCTACAAGCTCCTGCACTGATGGAACTTCTGTGAACTCTAAATGAGAATCTTAAAATCAACAGCCCCCTCTCACATCTAATGTAGCATATTTCAGGGTATTTTGTCACAGCAACAGAATGAAAATGAAATATAACCATGCCAAATTAGTCCCAATACATTAATTATAGATCTTTGTAACAACCTCCCCCCACCCCAGTTAGTCTTGGATACTATCTTAGAATAAGTTTTCTTTCAATCTGTTTTTCTCAAGCATCATTGAAGCAGGTTCCAACAGTTTTTTTTAAGTTTTATTAATTATGTACACATGGTTAGGGACCAGACTAGTGTGGGGATGAATGGGATGTGGACAGAATGAAATGACTCATAAAGGGGGACATTTGGGGCACAAGAGAAAGTCCCAGGAGTCTACAAGGATGACCCCACCTAAGACGCTGCAATATCAGACGTGTAGCCTGAACTGGCCATCTTCTGTAACCAGATTGGTAACTACTCCAAATATCATCAGAGATGCTTCACCCAGCAACCTGATAGAAACAGAGACTGAGACCCATAGCCACACATTAGGCAGAGCTTGAGGAATTCTGCTGAAGAGAAGGAGAAGGGATTATAGGAGCCATAGGGGTCAAGTGCGTCACAAGAAAACCAACAGAATCAACCAACCTGGGCTCATAGGAGCTCAGAGAATCTGAACAGACCACCAGGGAGCCTTCATGAGACTGAATAGACCTTCTTCATATATAGTACAGGTGTATAGCTTGGTCTTCTTGTGGGACTCCTAACAGGGAGAAGGGGCTGTCTCTCTTTTCCTAGCTTTTGGGGTCCTACTCTTCATACTGGGTCACCTTGCCCTGCCTTAATACAAGGGGAGGTTCTTAGTCTTATTACAACTTGATATACCCTATTTTGTTGATATTTCATATGAATCTTTCCCCTTTCTGAACAGAAAAGGAAGAAGCCTGAATGTGGGAAGCAGGAGGAGAGAGAAGGGACTTGGAGGAGGCAGGGGCAACTGTGGTCAGGGTGCAAAATAAATAAATAGATTTAAAATTTTTTAAATATTTTATTTCTCCCCTCCCTCATTTTTATGATATAGGGCTCTATTCTGTATTTCACATAGGCTTGAATTCAAAGCAGTCCTTTTACTTTAGGCTCCTAAAATTGTAGAAATGCAGGTGTGAACAAACATGACTGGCTTCATTTCCTGCTGTTGTGAAAATAGCTATTGATGTCACCTTTAACCAGTTCAACCTAATTCAGTCTCAATTAGTCTGCTCTGGAGAAATAGCCACCAGATTGAAAGAAATATCATACTGTAGTGTCACAGGTATAATGGATTGTAGAGAAATACTTTCTATAATATTTTGGAGGTAAAATTATAATATTATATTTAACCAGATAACAGAAGTGAAATTAAGAAGTTAAATGTAATTTTAAAAACATAACCTTATTTCTGTCTTTTGTTTCTTTATAGATGTCTCAGGATGGAGAGATGATAGGAGATAGATAGATAGACAGACAGATGATAAATAAAGATGATAGATAAATGAAGATGATACATAGATGATAGATAAAGATGATAGACAGACAGACATACAGATGAATAGAGGGAGTCTGTTCTCTGCTTTCACCTTGCTTTGAAGTTTGAAGCAGGCTCTTTTAGTTTCTGAAGCCCATTTCTATTAATCTGTGTATCTCCATGAGCTCTTGGCTTACCCAGTGATGCCTCGACCCCTTCCTTTCTCAGCTGCTACATGGTGTCTCTCCAGCAGCTCTCTCCCTATGTGCTCTCCTTAAAATTCTTCTTGTCTGGCCACAATGCCTGTAATTCCTGTCTGGCTACTGGACAATTAGTATTCTATTCACCAACCAATAAGATAAACATATACATACATACATACATACATACATATATATATATCCCCCATTAACAAGGTAGTCAGGAAAACAGGTTGTCATGAAAAGACAGTCATAGGTGGTCATATAACCCGTTAAAACAAAAGTAGGTTTGCAAGATAGTTATAAACAACTTTTAAAACCAAGATATGATTGCCAATCACGAAAAAGGCAGTACTGTCCTATTTGTAGTTACAGTTATAGACAAGCAACAGCCCAATCTTTGAGAAACAGGTTTATTCATAAACAGCAATGAACCTAGTTTGTCTTTACTATAAGACGGCTTTTAATCCTATAATGGAGGCGGGCTGTTCTTCACTACATTCCTGAAAGTTAGAAACTCAGTCATTGTCACTGTCTATCTTTCTTTTGAGGTCCCAGAAGAACAGTGTGGAGGATGGTAGCAGGCACCCTTGGAGCCTTGTGTGTGGTGCTGATGACGGCCGTGGGGATCTTATTTCCAAAATGTAAGCAATTATGGGATTGCCTCACTCCTGCAGCAGTTATGCTTTCAGCAACTGATGATAGCTCGACTTCCTATGGAGACTGTATTTCACAGCATCCACGTGATCGTATCCTAAACACTACTGATTACTGCCTCAAATTTTACCCTAGTATTTTCTAACCAAGAAGAACAAAGCAGAAAATGCTCGCTTCAGGCTCACCTGTGTCCTAAGGAGGATAGTAAGTATTAACTCTAAGCACGTTGGTGAGTATTAACTCTATAGGGTATTCTTCCAGGACTTTTCATTATTGGGCCAAATAATCTTCCTGTTTCCATAAACATTGATCAATCATGATAGACAAATGCAGTGTTGTTCATTTAGTGCCTTACTGGGGAATAACTCACATGGCTCTAAAACCAAGAAAGGAGAATCTGAAAAACAAAATCCACAAAAACTACAAGTATATATGGGTTTTTTTTTTTAAATCTTATTAGGATGAAAATGAAATTTAAATATGTTGATTACTAAATATGAGGTGCTCATATTTCTGTTGCTTGAAAATAAAAATCTGTGAATAGAAAGTAATCCTAGGAAATATATACCAATGTGTGTTTATTCCTAGTATAAAGAATGATGATTCTGTAGAGAAAGCAGTCCTGGTACACATTCTCATGAATTCTCCAACTATACTTATTAACAAGGGGAAAGAAAACCATCTCCTCAAATGACTGTATACATATATTTCTAAGCATTTCGTCATAATAATAAACCTTAACTAAGCATTCAAAACAGCTGTCACTAAGCTGATGGTTGACAAATGCGTTGACTATTATTGGTTGTCAAATTGACTACATCTGAAATTAACTAACGCCCAAAGAGCTAGGTATATGTCTTGGCTGCGGGATTTTTCTTAATTAAATCATTTGAAATGGGAAGAAACTACTTTAATCCAGATATTTTTGAGGTGGGAAGATCCACCTTTAATCGAGGGAAAAACTTGTGGTGGCAGCATATAGCCAGGGCATGAGAGAAGGAAGCTTTTGCTCTTTGTCTGCTTGCCCTCACTCTTGCTGACAAGTCCATCCCTTCACTGACATTAGAGCCTACTTCTTCAGTATTCCGGTACACAATGAAGATCATTGAGACATCAAGTCTTGTGGACTGTTCTACTGAATTCTTAGAAATTCTGTTGGAAGACAGTCAGTTTGGGGGGGGTGATGTACCACAACCTGTAAGCCATTCTAACAAATTATACATATAAATATAGTTATCTTATCTGTTCTATTTCTCTAGAGAACACTAAGACAAAAGTGGTACAAGGTAGTGATATATTACTGTGATAGGCCTGACCATGAAGCTTGTCAGGAAAATGTGGACTAGGGGAATTTGGATTAGGGAAGCAGCTGAATGTCTTAAAAGCTTAATGGGCCATGCTATTAGGAACATGGACAGTGGTGCTGAGTGAACACCGGCGGCCAAGAACAAGAAGTATCAGAGGGGCAGAATATTAGTAAATGACTTAGGATGCATTTTTATGATATTTTTGGAAAGAGTGTGACTGCTTTCTGCCCTTGTCCTAAAATCTTCTGGGGACTACATTGAAGAGTTTTAGATTAATGGCATTAGCAATGCTTAATATTGACAGTGTCTTGCGGTTATTAGTAATCCATCTTATGCAAATCTACAGTAAAAATAGCAAACCAGTAGGCAGCACTCCTCCATGGCCTCTGCATCAGCTCCTGCCTCCAGGTTCTTTCACTGTTTGAGTTCCTGTGCTGACTTTCTTAGATGAGGAAAAGCATATGAAACCATTTTTTTCAAGTTGTTGTGGTCAGAGTATTTCATCACAGCAATAGCAATACTGATTAAGACAGGGTATTATTTCATGAGGCCATGGGGTATGAATCAACAATAAACAAATTAGTTGCTTTTACAATGTGGATATGCTGAAAAACATGCTGAATGGAACAAATGATGCAATGAAAATCAGCCTGTGCAAAACCATGTATCTACTGTTTAGGGAAGCAACAGAAATAGGCAGTGTTATGCATTTGAGCCATGTTTGCCTAAGGTGTTGAGGAGGCCTTAAGCAGCTTCTACTGGGAAGAATGTGAGAGGGCCTGGGAGCAAGAGAAACCTCCAACTCCAACAGGAAACAGCTCCAAGAGTTTAATGAACTCTTCAAACCAACTGTTAAAAATAATAGTACACAATGAAATAATTTAAAGTAATGAGGTATCTTTTCTGTTCTTATTACTTGTTGTTGCTCTGGAGAAGTTTCAAATGTTCCTACCTATAAGTTTTCTTCAACACCTTTATGTTTCCATATCCTGTGTTCTCCCCACCATTTGTTAAGCTATTCATTTTAGATAGTTTGAGGTATTTCCTTGTCATAATCAACATGGACACAATGGGTGTGGCTCACCATTCTCCTCTCCCACTTTGTCTCCATGGACCATGGTGACATAATGACCATTCTCCTCAAACCCTTTGGTCTTCAGCTCAAATCTGGATGCACTGCACTTAACCACTGTAGCCTTCTGAGGTCCTTTTACTGGGTTATTTTCCTTGCATGAATATTTTCATCTTCTGTAGTCTCATGGTTGATCTTCACTAGAGGGTACAGTAGCTGACATTCCCTAATACTGTACCAACAGTTATTGTATTCTTGATGTCTATTGCTGCAGGCTACACAGGCAACTGTTTTGTTGTGAGCAATATCCTCATCCCATGACCATCAAGCACCAAAGGTTAGTTTCTAGAAAATACACCATCTAGAACATAGTAGGTTATTTTTGTTGGAGGGAGTACAGACTTGAATGTTGCTGTTCTAGAACACAGTTCTTCAAAGCACCGCAGTTACCAAAGTACACATAGGACGAAGTTACACAGAGGACATATAGTCGTGCTGTAACCTCTCTATACCCTTTAGGCTTGTACTTCACTTGTCCAGCACCCTGGGGTCTTACACCAGCTGATCTCAGTGCCTCAAATAATTAAGCTCTGTTTTTCTTAAAGATTAAGGGAATGACAGTGTAGATGGGATAGGGATATGGACAAAAACATTTCTGAGCAGGCACTCCATGCCTTGGTTATGTCTCTGGCATAAGCTTGTCCTCCATGGTATTTTATAACTATGTCTTCTCCAAATGTTCCAAATACCAAATAATCTTGTTTATCAGATTCTACACATTTAAATGGATTTTTATTTGAATGTCTTTTTTTATTTTTTGAGAGCTTAATACACGAGTACTGTATTTATACAATATCCACTCCTCTATTTCTTCCTTCAACTTCTCAATTCCCCCAAGGGCCCTCAAATTCACATCTCTAATTATTATTGCTACCTAATACACAAGCTACTGAGTCTATTTAGTGCTATTCCTATGTATATGTGTTTAGAGCAGGTCATTTGAGTTTGAATGACTTTTCAGGAGGTTCATCCTTAGTGAAGACTGATTCTCTTTCAGCGGCCTTTTATTACTTATAGTATTTCATGTGGAGGTAGGGCCTTGTGAAATTCCACTTATCCATGTTGACATGTTGATTGGTGTTGATTGGTGGTCTTGTTCAGATGGCCATAATGTTGAGATTTCATGGGCACAGCTGATAGACAGCACCTTACACCAGATGTCCTGATCCTCTGGCTCTTACAATCTTTATGGCTCCTCGTCTAAAATTTTCCGATGACATCTTAGATAGATCAGTTAGGGTTGGGCACCACCCAGTCACTTCTTCGATACATTTTGATACATTTGTTGTTGGACTCTGGAAAAATCTCCATTACATAAGAAGAAATTTATTTGATGAGGTGTGAAAGCTGTGCTAATCTGTGGGTAGCAGAATAAACATTTAGATTACAGCTTGAAATTATATGGACTTATGAACATGGCAGTGGTAGGTTTTCCTTTTAGGTCCATGACAACTCCAGGCACAGGTAGCTGGCTAACTTATGGACATAAATTCCCTCCCACTGAGTTGGCCTCAAGCTCATTTAAATGGTAGGCAGAAATATTCCATGCTGCTTTACTTTCCAGTTTTCCACATTCTTCTCCCTTCATTCTCTTCCGTTTGTTTTTCTTGTTACTTTTTATTCCTTTGCTCTGATAGCTGCATAGGTAACCTTGACATTAATAGACACAAGTCAATCTGCCCTAGCCTAGGAGAGCAGAGGATGCTAGGAGGAGCTGTGAGCCAGACCTGCTACTGAATGACCCCAGCTCAGGCATCACTGTATTTTCAAATGAAGCTCAGCCTCGCTCATCTCAGATGTTTTGAAAATGACAAAATATAAAGTTAATCTTTGACTCACTCTTTGAAGTAATTGAGCCTGTCTGAAAACCTTAAGAATACTTCGGTATGGAGAGACAAGCTTCCAAGTCAGTGAGGGGAAACTAGGACAGACAGAGGTACTGGTTCAGTTTTGTCAACTTGAAACAAACACAGATAAACCTGGAAATAGGAAATCCCAACTGAGGAACTGCCTCCATTAGATTGGCCTGAGGGCCTGTCTGTGAGGCATTTTCTTGATTGCTAAATGGTATAGATGGGCCCAGCTCCTCTGAGGTGGTACTTTCCCTAAGTAGATGAGCCAGGGTGCATAGCTGATTGTGTGTCTTGAAGTAAGCCAGCAAGGAACTTCCCAACATGAACTCAGCTTCAGCTCCTGCCTCCAAGTTCCTGCCTTGAGCTCCTTCACTGGCTTCCTTGATGGTGCCCTGCAATCTGCAAGCCAAATAAACTCTTTGCTCCCCAAGCTACTTTTTGTCATGGTGTTTATCACGGTAATGAAGAAACAAAGTAAGACTGGAGGAGCACAGAAGTAAAAGTGTGCTGGTTATTCAGAAAGGGCAGTAGATGTTTAAAATAGTTAAGAGTTTGGAAAAGTCTTCATGGGAAATGAATGTATTTGGGTATTCCAGGGATGAAAGGAAGAAAGTAGGGGGAAACGAAACAATTTGTGGAATGAAAATATGGGTACAGACTAGAAATAAGTCAACCATGAAGGAGAAAGTCAAATTACAAAGATTTATATAAAAGTATTTGGTAAGCTACAGTTTGGAGGAAATAAAAAGATGTATCTGTGATGTATTTTACAAAGTGGGTTAATTGATAGAAACACTATGATTTTGGAGAGTCAGAATATTACAGATCCAGAACCAAATTATCTGGGGGCTATCTTTAGTCTCTTTTATAGCCTTCACTTCCCTTCTCTGTGTCTGACTTAACCTTTCAACTATCATGTAAACTTTTAGAGGGCACTAATATTTTCTAAAGCTGCTTCTGCCTGAAATGTAGTATTTACTACAACTAGTTGTGACCACTCATACTTGGCTTAGAATAAATTATTTTTTCATTTGAGTTGAGAGCTGTGTTCTGCCTTGACATGTGTAAGCTAATTAGCAATTACAAATGATTTTGCTTTAATTATGCACTATTTCAAACCTAGAAAACTGATGTGTTTCTAAAGTAGGAAACATTAAGTGTGAGAGAAATAAAGTGGTAAAGAGTAAGATACTCTTGATAAAATTGTGATGTACACACTTAACATATGCCTTTTTATACTTCAAAATACACTTTCAGAATCTCTTATAGAGACAAACTGTGAAATCTTAATAGGATGCTTGCATAGTACTCATTTAAATGCTCAAAATGTATTTTTATATTAGGCCTAAAATTAAAACTGAGGAATTTGTGATATATATGTGCTATCTTAGAAAACATCAGCCTTATCAATTTTTATTAACTAGATATTTTCTCCAGCCCAATCAATTTCCCCTCCCTTCCTTCTCTCCTCCAGGTCCCTACTCACAATTTTCCCATCCACTGTTCCTCCTTTTCCTTCAGAAAAGGTTAGTCCTCCAAAGTATATCAGGCATCCATAGTTTATCAAGTTGCAGTGACACTGGGCACCTTATCTCCTACTAAGGCTGGACAAGGTGACCCAGTTTAGGGGAAAGGGAACCAAAATCAGGCAACAGAGTCAGAGACAGTCCCTGCTCCCACTGTTAGGAATCCTACAAGAAGGCAAAGCTACTCAACTGTAACAATATGAATAGAGCCTAGTCAGACCCATGCAAGCGCTCCTTGGCAGGTCAGTCTCTGGGAGCTGTCATGAGCCCAGCTTAGTTGATTCTGTGGCTTTTCTTGGCCCCTCTGACTCCCTTAATTCCTTCGTCCCCCTCTTTCACAGGATTACCCTAGGTCTACCCAATGTTTGGCTGTGGTTTCTGCATCTGCTTCCATCAGTTGCTAGGTGAAGCTTCTCTAATGAGTTTAGTTAGGCAACAATCTATGAGTATTGCAGAATGTCATTAGGAATCATTTCATTGACTTTTTTCCCCACTCACTTTTTGGTTCTATCCCAGGTCTCTAGCCTGTCCAGCCTCTGGGTTCTGGCCCTCCATGCAGTGTGAGGGTTGAACCTCCTTTCAGGGTATGGTTTTCAGCGGGACCAGTCATTGATTGGCCACTTCCATAATTTCTTTGCAATCTTGACCCCAGCGTATCTTGTAGGCAGGGCAAATTGTAGGTTATATGGCTGGGTTGGGGGCCCAATCCCTGCACTGGAAGTCTTGTCTGGTTATAGATGACTGGTAGAGGCACTATTTCTGCTATTTCTAGGAGTCTTAACTAGGATCATCCTCAAAGATTCCTAGAAGTAACCATTGCATTAGGTTTCTATCTCTTCTCAGAGATGCCCCCAGATTCCATTTGTCTTTCTCAATATTCTCTCCATTCTACCCCCACCTTCTCTCCATTCTACCCCCACCTTCTTGCTCCTCCTCCACTTCCCCAGCCCAACCCAGCTGCATACCCTCCATCCACCTCTGATGTCTATTTTACCTTTACATTGAGGTTCACTTGTCCCCGCTGAGTCGTCCTGGTTACTTAGCCTCTCTGGGTTTGTGGGTTATATCATGGTTATCCTTTACTTTACATCTGATATCCACTTATAAGTGATGTTTGCTTTTCTGAGTCTGAGTTACCTCACTCAGGGTGATCTCTTCTAGTTCTATCTATGTGTTAGTACAATGCATGGTGTCATTGTTTAGTGTCCCAGACTTCTTAGTTGTTTTATGTTAGGGATTTATTTTAGATTAATCATTTTCTTTGATAGATGAAACTGTTTCTTTTAACTTATCTGCACTGCCTGAGATTAACTCTTCAATTTCTTATATTCTATTGGTGGCACTTGCATCTGTAGTTCTTATTCACTCACCCAGATTTTCCATTTCCAGGGTTCCCTCCATTTGTGTTTTTTTGTTTGTTTGTTTTTGTTTTTTGTTTGTTTTTTCTTCCTTTTTATTGCTTTTGTTTCCTTTTTTGGGTTTTGAACAGTTTCCTTTACCTTCTTGTTTATTTTTTCTTGACTTTCTTAATATCATTTAAAGAATTTATTGACTTTTTTCAATTTTTTTGTCCTTTCCTGAAATTTTTATAGTGTTTTCTTTTTTCATTTCCTATTTGAGGGCCCTTATCATCTCCATAAAGTTGGTTTTATGGTCATTTTCTAGTGCATCAGCTGCACCAGAATGCTCATGTCTTGCTGTTCTAGGATAGCTGGGCTCTTGTGGTACCATATGGCCTTTTCTGTTGTTGATTGTGTTCTTACACTGGCATTTACACATCTGGGTTTGGAATGAATATCGGTCTCCGTGTTGATTTCTGAGTTTGTCTGTGATAGATGGTTTTCTTCCTTAGTTTCTGTTTCCCTCTGGTCTTCCGGCTAAGAGTTCTGGTGACTAGCAAGTCTTTAGGTTCAGTCGATGTCTCCATCTGGGTTATTTCAGCCTGCATGACTTCTGGAGCTTGGAATACCAATGTTGGCTCTGAGGTTCCAAGTACCTACGTGGCCTCTGAGGTTCTGGGTTAATGCCGGCTCTCGTGTATTCCAGTATGGTGTTGCCTCCCATGCAGCAAAAGTTTTCTGCTGAGATTGTGGCCAGCTTTAAGGAGTGTTAACTGGCTATGGGCAGTGTTTTGCCTTGAGTCCCTAGAACTTGTCTGACCTCAGGCAACACAGAAGTCTTCTGCTGAAGTTGTGGCCAGAATATGGACCCCAGAGGAGGGGGTGCAATCTGGGGCTGTTGCACAGGTTTAAAGGAGTGTTAGTGGGTGGTGGGTAATGCCTGTTGTCTTATCTGGGAGCTTTATTAGCTTTTACATACTTTCCTTGACATATATTACCTGTAAAATATTTTTGAGTGGGAACAATGCTATTTCAATAAACGAACAGAATAAAAAAATTTGTTTCATAAATACATACTGCTATGGAAATAACCATATGACATGAGAGACAGAGAAGTAATTGTCCTCATTATTCTGAGGAGATATGTAACTAATTGGACCTTGGATGACTATAAATGTTATAGAAATTAAATATGAAAAATACACATCTTAAATACTGAGAATACCAGTTTAAACCTACCTATATATTTTAATTTTGTGTATTCAGAGCTGTTCTTCATAAAAACAACTGCAGATAGAGAATGATTTCATAACTGCTTTTTTCCTATTCATATAATTATGTCACTTACATTTACATATTTATACTCATTATGACAAAAATAATATTTATACTTGTTTTCCTTGCAGGGATCAGTTTATATTGATTTCTATGTAAAAAATTTAAATCAAAAATATGTCATCGATGTTATCAGATAAGGATTGTGTAAATAGTACTCATCATTTTTAGGCAGTGTATGGGACTAGAGTGTAGCTCATGGACGGGGCTGGATGAGCATTTCTGGGGCTTTGATCAACCTGCAGCACCAGCAAAGAGATTAATGAAACTTTACTCTCAGTGCAGTATACTTGAATCTCATAAAAGCTGTATTAATAATGGCCATTCTAATGCCGACCACTCATTTTACACATGTGCCTTTCCTAGATGGCATCTGTGATCTTTGTTCACAAAACTGGACTGCCTTTGGAAACAGTTTCTATCATGTTTTTCGTGAAATCAAAACCTGGGAGGACAGTCAATCTTCCTGTAAGGAGCTGAGGTCTCATGTTGTGAAGATAGACTCCAAAGCAGAGCTGGTAGGTCACACACTCCTGTTTTCTTGCTTCTTTGTAACTGCTTGCAGTGAAAGCCCTGGTCATGAAGACTTCGGTCTAGCAAACTGAAAGTTCTAGAAGGCCTGTGACAGCTTCTTATGGCGATTTACTATTATTCTCACTTAGAAAACAGGACAGACTCTGCGGCATTGGCTTGTTCTCCTCAGCAGGCCTGTGCAAGCCCTTGCTAAAGATGCTATTTAGTAAAGAAGGATCAGATCACCCAGCTTAGTAACTCATCCCTGTAAGGGCAGCACTTGAGCTGCTGATATAGGAGGACCACTATGAGTTTGAAGCCATTTGGCTTATACAGTGAGTTTCCAGGCCACCTGGGGATGAAATTCTGTCTCGATTTTAAAAACGTATGAATTTAAAAACATTTTTAGGAAGCGAAAGAAAAGAAAAAGTACTAGGATTTTACACTTAGTTGTGGGCTGTGATTTTTCTGTACTCAACAGGAAAACCTGCTAGTGTTTCAAATCCATGGGTGGATTCTTCTCAAAACAAATGAAACTGTTGGGTTCTCGTCATGGATTAATGACATTAAAACAGAGCAAAATCCGTAAGTATAATGTTTGGATAAAGTGGGCTCTGCTGAGGGTGGTAAGATTGTTACACACACGTTTCCTGTCTGTGTGTGGCACAGGAGCATTCAGAAGTAAGGAATGAACATGGGTCTCAGTTAGAAGGCCTGGGCAGTCTAAGGGACCTCTGACAGTGGAACCAGGACGTATCCCTGGTGTACGAAGGACTTTGGGAACACATGCACCATGGAGAGATACTCGTTTAGCCTAGAGGCAGGAGGGAGGGCCTAGACCCTACTCCAAATGACTTGACAGATTTAGATGATGCCTCCTGGAAGGGACCACCCTCCCTGTGGAGTCAGGGGTGGGGTCAGGAGGCATGGGTGGGAGAAAGAGAGGGAGGGAGGGGGAGCTGGGATCGCTATGTAAAATAAGAAACGTGTGTGTGTGTGTGTGTGTGTGTGTGTGTGTGTGCGTGCGTGCGTGTGTGTGTGTGTGTGTGTGTGTGTATGTAAAGAGCTCTCATATGGAAGGGGCACTCTATGGGGAATACCATAGAGTATTGGGAGCTTTTGTGTGTTTATTTCCCAGACTCCCTGCAGACACCCCCACACATCATTTTAGGAAGTTTGTATCTCTAAAGCCTTTCACCACTTCCTTGTTTCACCACTCGAATCGCTACCCTGCTTTCTTCGACACTGTAGGACTGGCTTGTGCTTGATGTTTTCAGTCAATGTTTTGTGATGACATGTTACCTCCTTACCCTCTTCCCCATGGCTCTGTGTTTTCTTCCTGTACTAACATATTTTTCTTCCCTTTGGCCTATGCTTGTTTTAGCTAATTCTAACTTTGAAATTAAAAAAAAAAAAATGCTATCTGCAGTTACCATCTCAAGATTTCTGATCTTGTAATTGTTTTTACACAGAATTAATGATTCAGAGAAGAAGAATCATAATTGTCTTTATGTAAGTAAAAATCAATTTTATCCTGAAGACTGTTCATCTAAGAAACCATACATCTGTGAGTTCAATATACTGTGACACCTATTTCACTACCACAATTTTTATTAAACTACAAATAAAAAACATGTCTGGTATTTACTGGCTCCATACTTTTACACACGCACTTCGCTAAAAGGTTACTAAGTGATGATTTTTAGATTCTGAACACTTTTTATTGAATTGAGAAAACGTTGATTAATATTTTTACTTTATATATTGTATTGACAGTGAGTATAATTTATCTTGAGGGTGATCACTTCTCTGCACAATTTATATTTCTTTGAATAAGTTAAATGGCAAATAACATTGTTATTCAGCAACTCTGCAAAATCCAGGAGACTAAGAGTAATAAAGGGTTACCACATTAGTTAAGTGGAGTTTTAAAACGTGGTTTGTGTGTTATTCCTGTATAACTAGCAGAAGGTGCCACCGTGTACTTGTGAAGGTCAGATGACAACTTGGTAGAACTGGTTCTTTCCTTCCACATTTATGTGGACTCCAGGGATCAAACTCAGGTCCCTGGGCTTGCGTGACAAGTACTGCTTCCCCAGGGAGCTACGTTGCTGCTTGTTTTTTATTCTGTTTTGTTTTTGGAGTATGCTTATACTACGTTGTTCAGCCTAGTCTGTATTCCCAGGGCTCAAACTATTTTCAAGTCTCTGTGTATCTGGTAGGTAGACCAGAGATGCAGCCCACCTCATACGATGTAAGATCCCTAAGCAGCATATACCTTTTGAGATTGTTCAAGAGATATATTGATGATTCTGCTTGAGGCAGCAAGAACAGATTCCAAGGGAGGGGGGAACAACAATAAATAACAAATGCAACTCAGGTTGAAAAGTTAAGAAGCTCAGAGTCTGGAGCTGGAACGATGGCCCACAGGTTAAGAGTGTTTACTGCTTCTTAAGAGGCCACGAGTTCAATTCTCCGCACCCATATCCATCTCACAGAAGTCTGTAATCTGACTCCACTGGATCAGACACCCTCTTCTGATCTCCCAAGCTCCTGCATGCACATGACACACATACAAACTCACATAAGCATTCACAGATATACTGAAGTGACTAAAGTAACACAATATGGTCTTGACTCCTGTTTGCTAAAACAGTCCTTATCTCTCTATGCACCAACATAGACCTTAGAAAGACAATGAAGATTTCCATGGCCTGGGTGTATTAACCAAGATAATTAATGTTTATACAAATGTAACGTAAGTTAAAATAACTGAAGAAAGAATGATGCAAAAATAACTGTCATCCTGTATCTAATGTAATTACTGCGCTCTTCCAAAAGTGAACATTTCAAGGTTACTCTGACCCTCATCTAACATTAATGTAAATTATGCTCTTTGTGGTTTTTGCCTTTCACAAAGCTGTAACCCTGTTTCTTCAGCATCAAGAGATGTTGACTCATATGCCTATTCTTTGTTGCCCGCTAATAAAGGACTCATATTTTTTTAACTTGTCTTAATCACCATGATGTTCTATATCTTCCTTGTGTGAGTTATCATAATATAAAATAATGAATCAATAAATAGAAAAAGAAGCCCAGAGTCTGGCCGCAGTTGTAAGACATTACCTTTCCTAGAGAGCAGCTAGCACTGAACCTTCAGGCGTTTAAAATGGGACTTGGAGATGATGAGCGAACAGATGAGATAGTCGCAGAGGAACAAAAACCACAAAGGGAAAACAAAACAAAGTTCTTGGGCTACAGATTCTATAATTGGAAGCATAAAATTGTAAGTTTTCAAATCTGTGAAGAAACAACGGCTAACAGTTCTCCACGCAGAGTTCCAGAGCGTATTGTTTGCATTAAAATACAATGAACTGTGAAAACATAAAGAACAGTTTTAGAAAGGAAAACCCCAGCTGTGAGCTCCATTGTCCTACAACTGAGCACATCAGCCTTTCCAACAGTCCTAAACAACCAGTCACTCTATCTTCTCCTTGAAGTCCTATAGTGTCCCTGGCCCTTAAAGGGCTACTGGGGCAGCCTCCCCACGTCTTGTCCCTGCCTCCCCACCACTTGTAACAGTTATGCTACTTCAGTATCCCCTCCCTCATTCCCCAAAGACCCTTCTTTTCAGCCCAGTGATGCTCCAGCTCCCTTCCTAAAGTGAAATTCTTCACTGTTGATAACTCAGGAAACTACCATACAATTTACAGCCTTGCAAATTACCTCCTCGTCACTGTCACTTCTCCAACTTAATCCTGACACTGTCTACAATATAAACAGTTAAAATACAAGTTATTATGTTACCTCATAAATAATTATATTCTTTAAAATGTTCACAACTGTACTTAAAGTCATGATTTATTACAGAAATAAACTTCATTTAGCCTTATACATACACACATACATACATATATATATATACACTATTTAAACCTTTGAAACAAGTAACTACAAACAAAGCTTGTATAGTCCAGGCACACTTAATAGGCAATGGTCCTCAAACCCTCAGAAATTTGCTAAATATGGCATTTAAAATATTTGTTAAAAACAAAGTTCTTTATATAATAGAAAGGCATGCCTGGTAGCACCCCCAAACTCCTCCAAAGATGATGGGCACAGAAGAACTCTACCTGGAGCTTGCTTTAAATGTGGCAGAGCCAGCCACTGGGGGGAAACTAACTTCACCTCGACTGCTGCCCTGACCCTGTCCAAATTGTGGTCAAGCAAGACACTGGAGAGATGATTGCCCTGCCTTGCCTAGACAAGGAAGACCAGTTGCCCCAAATCCCTACTCCATAGGGAAATCTTTCTGATATTCTGAGCCTGGTAGCCAAAGGCTGATGCTGCCTTGAGACCTCTGCCCCCAACAACCACAGAGGAACCTTGGGTGACTGTCCAGGTAACCAATATATCTCTACCATTTTAATTAATACAACACCATTTAAATTATACTTTGTACTCAGATTTATCATTCACAGGTCTTGGAGGACATTGATGACTAACTATAGCTTTAACAACAGCAAACACAAAGCAGCCTGGTCAGTCCATTTCAAATGTATAGTTTGCCTTGTTGGCAGGCTTCACACTAATAAAAACTTAAAGTTTCTGAGGGTTTTACAAAAGAGACAAGTTATATAGTCCAAGGAAAATGAATGCTACAAAATCTAAGATTTAAACTTATGACAGCCTAAACATAAGATATGACTTTATATCTCTATGACTAGAGATATAAAAGTTTGAAAAATGTTATTTATGGGTTTAAAAATTAATGTAAGGTATATAAAACATTGTTTCATATCTCTCCCCTTCTCTCTATGCTAACACCTCTCTCTCAGCCATATTCAGCATACACAACCAGTCCTCCAGAATTCTCTCCAGACTCCTCCCCTAGCTTTCTCCTTTCAAGGTTTTTTTTGCCCTTACTCCTCCATTTCTTATTCCCTCATTATAAAAGGATGTCCTCTCCAGAACTGACATAAAGTTTGCCCTTTATCCTAACAAAAGCTCCTAACACATTCCTGCATCCCTCCTCCTCTCCTCAGTTTCCATCAGGTCCTTCTTCATGCTGTGATTATGTGTGTTGCTCTCACTGGTTGATAATAAAACTGTTTGGCCAATGGCATGCAAGGCAAGATAAGGTTAAGAGGTACAATCAAACAGAGGACAAAGATAAAATAAGGTGGAGTCAGGGCAGATAATGTAAGCCACCCAAGAAGCAAGATGGGAAAGTACCAGTAAGCCACAGGCCATGTGATGATTTATAGATTAATATAAATGTGTTTATTTATACATAAGAGCTAGTTAATGCTAAGCCGGAACCATCAGCCAAGCATTTATAAGTATCATTAAGCCTCTGAGTCATTATTTGGAAACTGGCAGGCAGGAAAGAACCATCTATTTATTTGTAGACTCTCTCCAAAATTCTAAACATCTCTTTTTTTTCATCTCTAAATCTAACAAACTAGCTCTGGGGTCCCTGCTCATAATCTATTGATTCCTTCTTATAATCTATTCCCACCAATACCTCCCTGAATTCCAATGTCTGACACTATCTCAGATTTTATCCTTCCAAACATCTTGTTATCAAAAATTCATCTCTCACATTTCTTACCTGCCCTCCCCTCAATCCTACTACACTTATCCCCTTGTCTCAACATTCCCCAGATCCTCTCTTCTCTTGTCGCAATCTCTCAAGACCTCCTACACCATCTCTCTCATAAAAAGGAAGTCCTCTAGCTATTTTGGACTACATTTTTTATTTGGATGACAGCTCCTTCTGGTCAGCTGCCCACATCAGACTAAACCCTCCATATTAATTCTCCTCTTTCAGTTTCTGCTCTCTCAAGATCACCTTTCCCCACAAATCCCATCTTTCTTCTTATACTCCTACTTTTCTTGTGCCTAAATAATTGTCAAACTCCACCAACAACTGGCTACCTCAAATTCATTAACTGTCCATACATCCTCAGACATCACACACTTTAAAGAAATCCTACACTCCCAATTAGAAAATACAGTTTAACCCAAGACATCTCCCCTCCCCCCCCTCTCTCTCTCTCTCACACACACACACACACACACACACACACACACACACATGACCAAGCCCTCACTCAGGTCAAAGTCATCCAACACACTCTCTCCTCAACTTCACTGATACCTCCTTCAATGTCTCCCACTGCTTCTAGGTGACTTCCTTCAATATGCTCCCCCCTCACCTACCACATTTCTGCCTGCAGGCAATGTTCTAGTCACAAAGGCCCAACTGACCACTATTGACCACTTGTTCCTAGACATCTGAACTCCTCTTTGCCAGCCAAAGACAGATTCTCTCAAGCTCTCTATCCAATCCCCAATGTCTGTTTGACAAAAGCTCTCAAATTGTCTTCTCCTCTACACAACCAGACCCTGAATTCAGATAACAGTTGTTTCCCAATTAACCTTGTATAGCCAATCTAAATGGTCCTGGTTCCTCTCAAAGCTCTCAGACTCCAGATAAGTACTCCTGCCAACAGACTGCCTAAGTTTCCTGGGCTATTGCTTTTTCATCAAAGCAAGATCTCTTACCCTTTCCCTGGGACTCCAACTGCCAGGACTATGAGTCTAACACTTTCAAATGTACATCCCAGAGAATTTTCTTCTC